AGTGCTGGAATTAGGCATGAAAAAACATTAAAACATGCAACCAAAACCTACAAATGATGCTCAAAGCCTAGTAATACTAAGCTAGTGAAGGAAATTACACCACAGCTATGCAACACAAAGCTCAAAAGCAACAACCAGCCCAAAATAGATGTAAAACAGCCCAAAATATAGCTTTAAACATTCTGAAATTAAGCTAACACAAGCTAGAACAATAGGCTAAAAGATGAAGCGTGCTAGACTAGTAAGCAAAACATAAGGAGGGGAGGCTACTCCCTCCATTTTTGGACTTCAAAACATGTTTTTATCCACTGAAATAACTCTAAAAAACAGTGTTTAAAAGCTTGGAAAAAGATAGCAAAATGGTGGGAAACACAAGGGAAAGGCCTCCAAAACAAGGTATAAAGAAGGACTATCAACCCCTCAACCTTTAATGGCCTTAGGACCCAAGCTTCAGTCCAAAAACACAGAGTTTTTATATCTCAAAATCAGTTGGAAAACATGCTAGAATGAAGACAAGAGTAGCCAAAACAATAAGCTAATACATGGTGTTACATTACAACCATGCAAAAGACTTCTCATACAAAACAAATAGCCCAAAACAAAGCTAAAACAGCCCAAATCAAAGGCAAAAACATGCTGGAAATAAGCTAAGTTAAGCTACAAAAACATGCTAACGTAGTAAGTGAGGCTCTGAAATGCGAGGAAAATAGGGATTAATTTGTACTAGAGGTGAGTTATATTATACCTTGAGCTAGTATAATATGTTTTAAATATGTCTTGAGTTACCATAATATAGTTTACTTATGTTTTGACTCACCATGATTTATTTTATAAAAGTTATGTTTTATTAGTATATCAATAAAAGTTATGTTTTATAAATATTTCAGTTACGTGAATTATTTTCTAAACCCTAATTGTGAAAATGAAACTCATGGATATGCTTGTGTATATTTTAAAGAATATTTAACTATAACCTTATAAACAATTATATTGTGTAAGTACCACCATGGGAATCCCACGCCTTGGGGGACTTAAATAACCATTGGCCCCTGTTTGATCACTTTGTGGTCCCCTGTTTGTCATGGATCCATTGACCCCTGTTCTGATTGTCACTCTAGTGACCCCTGCTCTGTTCTATTCTGTACCATGGTTATAGTTATTTATTTCAGTTCTGCCACTTAAATAATCTGTGTATTCAACTCAAATTATGTTAATGTTTTAGTTTAAATACCTATTCATGGCTATTTTGTACCCTAATACTCACAGTATAATATTTCTCGCTCTGTTATGTGCTTATAGTTGCTACCTGTCACGACCCAAACCCGGCCCTAGGGGTTTAGCACCGTAACTGGCCAGTAATCTGAGTTTCAATTTCAGTCAGTCGGTTCGGTATTTCATTCAGTTCGATTATCAGTCAGTTATCAGTCATTATCAGTTTTCGTTTAACAGTAATCGGTGATTAACGGTAATCAATCGGTCATAAATCAGTAAACAGTACGAGGGTTGTTACACTACCCCTTTCAGGTGACGAGATTTAGCGGGATCAAGATGGGGAATGAATCGTTGTGTCTTTCTTTTTGGTTTCTATCTGTTTTGTTTTTTTTCGGACTCTTGTAATACAATAAAGATCAAATGACTATATTTATTTCCTTTTAAATAAGCATTTGGTACCCCATTATTTTATTTTAATTTATTTAATTTTTCCGTTTGTGCTACGACTATAAAATTACTTGAATTATTTCATTTTTATCTTGTTACGACGCCAAGCTTTTGACTATCGGGTTTGCGTCGTGACAAAAACAATAGAGAAGGGCGTCTATATATAGCAATATATGAGCTTCACGTCGAAATATCTGAATTAGGACAGCTAGAGCAATGTGAAAACAGCTAGAGGGAAAATATCTGTAAAATCTGAGCTTTCCTTACACCTGTAGCCGACCGGCCACTAATGGTGGCCGACGAGGGTCACCCTTGGACAATATATGGCCAAAAAAGGCCAATCATGGCTGACACATGGCCAACAAAGCTTACTAGGGGCTGGCAAGCAAAAACTGGTTTTTGGCCCCGACTTCGAACATGAATATCTTCTTCATCTAGACTTCTTTGCAGGTCATTCTTGAGTCTAAATAGAAACCCCAGAAGTCTTCTTTCTAATAGTGGCATCCTCACATCAAAATTCCAAGTGCGTAAGAAGATATGCTCATTTTAGTAAAGACTGCTCAGTTTTGGTCCCAACCAGATTGATGCCTAACTTCAACCAGCCATATCTCCCTCATCCGAACTCGGCTTTAGGAGATTCTTGAGTGTAAAATGAAGCCCCAGAAGTCCACTTTCCAATGGTGGTGGCCTCATAGCTAAAATCCAAATGTACAAATGGATAGGCCTAATTTAGCGAAGGCTACTCGACTCTCTCTTAACGATTTATGCCCAACTTCTTCCCCAACTAGGTTTCATCCCTCTCCTCAAATTTTCTTCAACTCCAAACCTCTAAACAAGATGTTTTGAAAGATTTTTCAAAGAGTTCACCTCTCTTTCATGCATTTCCACTTTGTCGTTGCTCAGTTTACCGAAAAGAGCATAACATTTAACGAAATGCGAGCCTCAGAACATCGTAAAAACTTTTTCAAAAATATTTTGAAAGAGAGGGTTTTAAGATCTAAAATCTTTTTAGTCAAAAGGCTTTGGTCCAAAAAGGGGGTGTGAGGTTAGGATTTGACGCTCTTTTTTCCAAAGAAATAAAGCCTTTGCACTGCACAACTTTCATCACCAAGTAAGCAATTAGTGGCGCCCAAGTCTTAAGGGCAGTAAAAAATGAGGTGTCTACACAAGTGTTCTTCCCAACTTCCACTAAGATCGAGGACACAAGCTCTCAACATATCCTCTAAGATCTAATTTACCCACTTAGTTTGTCCATCTGTCTGAGGATGATAAGCCATGCTTAGGTCTAACCTAACACCCAAAGCATGTTGAAAGCTCTCCCAAAACTCTGCCACAAATAATGGATCATGACCTGAAACTATAGAAACTGGCGAGCCATGAACTCGCACCACCTCTCGAATATGCAGCCTAGTTAGTTTATCCGCAGTTCAGTGAACACTGATTGGAATAAAATGAGTAGACTTGGTGAGTCGATCCACTATCACCCAAATAGATTCATTGCCTCGCTTAGACCACGACAATCCATCCACGAAGTCCATAGAGATGTACTCCTATTTCCAAGTAGGGATCTCGAGAGGTTGCAAAAGTCCAAACTGTCGTTGGTGTTCTGCCTTAACCTGTTGGTACACATAATATCGAGAAACATACTCTCCTACGTCCTTCTTCATACTTTTCCAGCAAAACGTCCTCTTCAGGTCATGATACATCTTAGTCCCACCAGGGTGAATTATATATCGGGACCTATGGGCATCATCCATAATCTCTTTCCTCAATTTAACAATGTTAGGTACACACAACTTGCCCCTGAATCACAATTCCCCATCTGAGTCCACAAACCAATCAGTAGGACAATCATCGATCAAATCCACTAGAAGATCATCGAGCTTGCTGATGAGAACCCCATCTAAATTCTGCATCTGACGAACTTTACCCAGTAACGTCGGCTGCAGGGTCAAACTACCAATGTTTGTCCTCTTAGCATTCTCTATTGGTTGAACATCATGCCTCAAAATTAACTCCAAGGACTTCCATTCCTGAATCATTAAAGAAGCTATAATTCCATGTTGTCGACTAAGTGCATCTGCGACCACATTTCCTTTCCCCGGGTGATAAAGAATCTCGAAATCATAACTACTGACAAATTCAATCCACCTCTGTTGCCTCATGTTCAACTCTTTTTGGGAAAAAAGATATTTGAGGCTCTTGTGATCTGTGTACAACTCAAAGCGCTCCCCAAACAAGTAGTGTCGCCACACTTTCAACGCAAAAACAACTACTACCAACTCTAAGTCATGAGTAGGGTATCGTCTCTCATGAGGTTTTAACTGTCGAGAACCATAAGATACAACTTTCTGATGCTGCATCAACACACTTCCCAACCCGGTTCCACTCGCATCAGTAAACACTATTAACTTTTCCCCTTGTACTGGTATAGTTAACACCGATGCTGTAATCAATCGCTGCTTTAACTCTTGGAAAGCCTTTTCACAATCATCTGTCCATACAAACTTCACATTCTTGCCGGTCAACTTGGTCATGGGTGCTGCAATAATGGAAAACTTCTTTATAAATCTTCTGTGATAACTGGCTAGTCTTAAAAAACTTCTCACCTCTGTAGGGTTTGTGGGCTGCTTTCATTCTTTGACTGCAACAACTTTTTCAAGATCTACCGCTATCCCTTGATTGGACACACCATGCCCCAAAAAGTGAATTCCTTTCTCCCAAAAGTGACACTTACTGAACTTAGCATAAAACCACTACTTCCTCAAACTCTACAACACGACTTTCAAGTGTTCTCTGTGTCCTTCCTCATTCTTAGAATACACCAGGATATCATCTATGAAGATAATCACAAACTTATCTAGATACGGTTGAAAAATTCTGTTCATCAAGTCCGTGAAATAGGCAGGAGCATTGGTCAAACCAAAAGGCATTACAGGAAATTTGTACAACCCATACCGAGTCCAAAAAGCAGTAAGCGATATATTTTTCTCTGACATAGCCATCTGATGGTAACTCGTTTTGAGATCAAATTGAGAGAACATGGATGCCCCCTCCAACTAATCGAACAAGTTATCAATTCTGGATAGCGGATACTTATTCTTGATAGTCACCTTGTTTAGCTCTCTGTAATTTATGCACATGCGGAGAGTGCCATCTTTCTTGGAGACAAAGATCGCAGGTGCACCCCATGGGGATTTACTTGAACGAATGAACCCATTCTAAAGCATGTCTTCCAGCTACTTTTTCATCTCCACAAGCTCTTTAGGCACCATTCTATATGCCTCCTTAGAAATTGGTGTAGTTCTCGACACTAAATCAATGCGAAATTCTACTACCCGTCAAGGAGGAGGTCCAGGTATCTCCTGGAATACATCCTTAAACTCATGCACCACATCTACCTCACTAATATCCTGCTTAGGGATTTCTACCGAGCATAGAAAACTTGTCATCACTGACTCTTCTCTATCGCTAGAAGTGTGGGTAAGCCTTGACATACCGGGAATATCTATATTTACAATCTTTCTAGCACAATCTAGAGTCGCAAAGTAATTTCGCAGCCAATCCATATCCAAAATAATTGTAAACCCCTCAAATCCTAAAACAATTAAGTCTGCATACAAGACTCTACCCGCAAAGTCAATCTCAAAATCTTTACACATCTCATAAAGAGTAACTGCCCTCCTAAAAGGGTCTCAACACAAATAGGTCTAGACAAGAAGGTAGTTACAATATGTTCTCTTTCTACAAACCGTCTAGATATAAAAGAATGAGAAGCACCAGTATCAAAAAGTACTGTAATGGGTTCTTGAAAGAGATTAAAAGTATTTTGCACTTTGTCAGTTCTTGGCATCACTACAAATGCCCTGGCTGGAGCTGCCTGACCCTGTCGCGCTTGCTGTCTCCGAGGGCAATCCTTGATTACATGCCCCAACTTCTAACACCCAAAATACTTCATATTAATCAATTGAGGTGCTGCTGGTCTAATAGGTGGGGGCCCTTCTAACTGAGGTACGGGAGGACGATAACCTAACTGTAGTACTTGTTGTCGCTGTCCTTGATAACCCTATGGGCGCGGACCACCCTGTCTATGATAATAGTGCCCCTAGGGCTGGAAATTACCTTGAGGCTTGAAATTACCTTGAGGTCTGAAATTTCCCTGACTACCCTACTGCTGTGGCCTCTGAAACTGCTGACCCCTATGCTTTTGATCATAGGGTCGGTATCTGTTCCCATCCCGCTACTGGAAGTGACTCTCTCCAGAAGTCTCTCCGACCTTGGCCTTTCCTTCTTTAAACTGCTTCTCCTTTTCCTCATACTTCAGTGCCAAGTCAAGAACTCTATCAAACGATTTAGCATCAAAGGGAATAAGGGACTTAGACAGGTAATGATTCAATCCCTTAATAAACTTCTCATTATTCTTCTCCTGTGTGTCGACCAAGTAAGGGGCATAACGAGACAACTTATTAAACTTGGTAACATACTCGATCACTGTTCTACCCTTTTAAGTCAATTTCAAAAATTCATCACTCAGTTGAGATCGAATGGTAGCAGGAACAAACTTCTGGTCAAAACGAGTCTTGAAATCTGCCCAAGTCAAACTCGTCAAGTCTAGACCCTCCTTCTACGAGTTCTACCAAAATAGGGCTGCTCCCTTAAGCTGATGTGTCGCCAACTCCTATTTTTGGGCCCCGGTGAGCTACATACGACCAAACACTATCTCACATTTCTGGACCCAAGCGTTAACTGCAATGGGTCCTCCATCTCCAGAGAATTTTTGACCTCCCAAAGAACCAAAGTCTTTGTTTCTCTTCGCAAAAGGATCTCTCTGGTGGCCTTGATTATTGTTTTGTATAACCTGAAGTAACAGAGCCATCATCTTACCCACATTAACCTGTACCATATTGGTTGCCTCGGTAGCAGTCATCGCTGCCGCTACATTAGCAGTAGTTTCTTCCCCTATGCCATTGGGCTCAACACTTCTCTAATTATATCTTCCAGTCATCACATTCAAGTTAAACACACAGGAAGAATTTGTTCATAAATACTTAGAATAAATTCAACCACTAACCTAAACCAGCTAACTCATGTTTCCACAATCTGAGGATCACCTAAACTCTCACAAGTCTAGGGTAACCTAGAGCTCTGACACCAAACTGTCATGCCCCAAATTTTGGACAATTAAATATTAAATTAGGACTAAACCCTAATTAATATTTCATCATCTAAATCCTAGGGGTGAAACAAAAAAGCTAAACGCCAACCAAAGCATCCACCATAATTTCATAACTAACTAATACCTTCAACATTAAAGTAACAATACATAGTCAAAATAACTTAAATAATGTATGGTTACAAACCATGCCAAATTATCTCAATACTAAAGTCATAAAAAAAATATTAAATACATAAACTAATATCAACCCTAAGCTCAAGAAAATAAAAGAAGTCCAAACAACAAGTCCAACAACTATAGTAATTCCACGTTACCACCGTAACCCCAACTAATCCTGCAAAGGAAACTTGACTGCGCTCAAACAGAACGCACCCGAGTTGCCAAGAGACAAAGCGGGTTAATATACAGATATACTAGTATGAGTACAAGATTTAACTCCCACGTGTCCACCAGACACAAACAAAAATACGTTTAATTCTTGTTACAGATAAGACAAGTAGTTCAAACCGCACCGAGACTAATAGGTAGTTTTCCGAGATACGGTGGCATTTAGTTTCTTGCCCGTACACCACGAAATATAAATTGATTATAAAATAAACAAAATAGAAATAAAAATATAGTGGGTCAGTCCTGCATAAAAAAAAAGTTAGTAAGACCCACCATCCTGCAAAAAAATAAAGTTAGTATAATTTAATTATAAGTAACTTGTTGAAAAAGTATAAAAATGCAGCGTTTCATACTTAAATAATTTGAATTGACCAAAACTCAAAGAACAAAAGTTGTACAGAATAAAATTTATTAAAAGATAACGCAGACGAATTTAGTATAAACTGAACTGGTTGAGAGAAAAACTTAATAGAAAATCCTAACCGAAATTCGATCGAAAAATCTAGAATTAAAAACGAAAAGAAACTTCTATAAGATTGAAAAATAAATATGGAGAGAATAATTGACAGAGCAAACAGGCTCTTTGTTTTCAATCGTATTAATCCTTACGGGGAGACTCCATTTTATAGGAGTGATTATACAACATTTGCAAAACAATATAATAAAAGGCTACTAGACAACATAATGAAAGGCAGCAATCATAATTAAAGGCACAACATATAAAACTAAAAGTAGCTGAAAGGAAATGGCACTAACTAAAGCAAATTGCACTATCTAAGGCATCTGATGACTACTAATACAGAATAAAATTTATTAAAAGATAACGCAGACGAATTTAGTATAAACTGAACTGGTTGAGAGAAAAACTTAATAGAAAATCCTAACCGAAATTCGATCGAAAAATCTAGAATTAAAAATGAAAAGAAACTTCTATAAGATGAATTTTTCGGAAATTTTCAAAACATGAAAAGTGTTCAGAATAATGTTTTACTTCAGTTTACGCAAAATCAATAAAAATGAGCTCGTTTCGTAGGTTAAAACAGCCTCTAAAATCTGCATTGCTAAATGAATCAAAAGTACAATAACCAAGATCATCCGATTATAAGTTCTAATCGATCTTTTTAATAAAAAATTAAAACACAAAATTTTTCTAGAATCACATATACATGCCTCTGCTCAAATTTCATAATTTATCAAGATCGTTTACTATTTTTCAACCTGTACAAATCAATACAATTCACACTATAACAATAAACTCGTAATTAAATTCTTTGTACCTTAACTCCACCATTTCGGTCTCCACTTTCGATCTACACATATATCCAATGTGCCTTTCGTACACTTAACACCGCTCCGAAGCCAAACTTGCACGGGGATATCGTTCCGAGTTTGACCCACACTCCTCAGATGGTTAGCATATACGTACGCACGTAAATCAAAGCAGTTGTCTACTCATGAGAACGATGCAACAATATACATATACAAAACATCTCACTCATGAGAATAAACATAACAATGCCAACCTTAAGGCATTCAAATAAATCTCAAAATCTTCACTTTTTTTTATACACTCTTTCTCACCAACACTCAAATAAAACAATAATTTATGAAGTCATGGTGGAGTGTAAGGAATTTATCTAAGGGTTCCCAATTTATTTTAATTTCATATAACCATGAGTGTGGTTATAGCCATAAAATAAATCTATATAAAAACATAAACCCGGCATACACAACAAATAAAAATAATTAAAATCAATCAATCATCTAAAAATCCTAAACTTTACATATATAACTATCAAAGTAATTAAAACCAATCAATCATCTAAAAATCCTAAACTTTACATATATAACTATCAAAGTAATTAAAATCAATCAATCATCTAAAAATCCTAAACTTTACATACACAACTAATCAAAATAATTAAAATCAATCAATCATCTAAAAATCCTAAACTTTACATACACCACTAAGTAAAATAATTAAAATCAATCCATCATCTTTATGTAAATACAAAATCAAACTAACATCAAATAAATAAAAATAAATTAATAAAAACAACAAATTAAACATAAATCAAGGGAAGTGAGTTTTGTACTCACAATATTTTTTTAAAGATCAAATAATCACTTAAAAAATTAATGAAACTGCCAAAATAAAACCCTAATCCTTTTTCTTCCTTTCACTCCTCTCTTTTTTTCTTCTGCCCGTCGCTCCTCTCTCTCGATTGTACTCTCTATTTTTGTGATTAATCTCTCTCTCTCTCTCTCTTTCTCTCTCTCACTCTCACGCCACACACACAGCACTCTTTTTTTTTTCTTTGATTAACCTCTCTCTCTCTCTCTCTCGTTTTCTTTCTTCTTAACTTCTCTCTCTCTCGTTTTCTTTCTTCTTAACTTCTAAACCTAATAGACTTCCTATACTATACTATATTATAAACCTAAGTCTAAATATATAATAACCTAATTTCCTATTATATTATATTATACAAATAAATCACAAATATAACATATATAAATATAAATATCTTATATAAAATTTATATCAATAATTTCTATTTTAATATATATATAAATATATAATTATAAATATTCAAATTAATTACATATATTTAAATACCACATTAAACTAATTAAATATCACATTAAATTCTCATGTAACCACATAATTAATAAAGCCAAAAATAAAATCAAGTAATAATAAATAAATAAATGCTTACGAAGAAATCATGGTCGCTATATGTTATTTCTTTTATGGTTTATTGGTGGCAAAACTATTTTCATGAGTGTATTGTTGGAACAATCTGTTGTGTCAAAAAAATAACTTGAAACAAATCAAAAAAATAAAAATAATTTACTTACAAAATTTATTTTACCGAACCAAATAAATATTTAACAGATCAAGTCAAGTATGTGACACTCTGTCCTTAAGACAGATTCGTCCCGCTACGGTACATACTGATAAATGGCGTCTATATCCCAGGATACAATGATCTTCACAGATTGTATTAGCACTAAAAACAATCTATTTCGGCGAACTAGAACCTATGTTCTATACTCTCAAATATTTTTCTAAAAACTAAAATGAAGAATAATGCAAAGAGAGAGCAAAACCGGGAAGACAAATGAATTCTCTGGATTTGAAAATCTGTTGGAAATGATCTTTATTTATAGCAGAATTGGTAACCATTGCACAGATCCAAATAGGTATGATTCAAACTAAACGGATATATTTTTGAAATGAACAGATTTGGTTCAAACCGAACAAGTATGAACTATTTAAACCTACTAAAATTTAATCTGTCCGCTAGACTATTTAAACCTGTTAAAATGGACCCGGGAAAAGCACTATATGGACAAAAAATTGAATTCAAATTTTGGCGCAAAATTTCAAATTTGAATTAATTTTGTTTGGAAAAAATATATTTCCCGCAAAAAAAAAAATTGTTTTTGGAAAAAATTCAAATAAATTTTGTTCAAAAAATTAATATTAGAATCGACCGACCCACAACCCACACTCGGCACGGCTGACTGGACGGCGGCGCGAGTGTAGTGGTTAGAGGCAAGGTTCACTTTGTCTATAACTTCTCCCTTCTACAAACTTGGGATGCCTCTTGCAGCCAAACCCAAGTGTTGCCACCTAAAACTTATATACACACATAAGTTTTTTTAAGTT